TCTTCAGAGACTAAACAGGAGCTTTATTAGCACAGCGCTCACATCCAGAGGCGACGTGTATGTGTAGGAGTGCCTCTCAGCCCGCCCTGTCTGTAGGAGAACTGTAATTCCATTAATTGGACTAAATTGTTTTTTGTTGTTTCCTCTAAATGTCCTCTTCTAACCTCGGGTGGTGATCCAAAAGAGGATTACAAGATTGTTATTGTTAGAAAAATAGAGAATTAAGCAAACTTGGAAAGGGCTCTGTTTGGATTTACTCTTTTGACAGAGTTGTCAAAAGTATAAATAATAATGGATAGACATAATTTGAGATTCTTTGAGAAGTTTTTCAACAATTTGATTATTTTCGGAAGTTAAAAAGTTAAAAAAAAGTTTATTGGTATGTGTTGGTATCAAAAGCACCGTGACACACCCTAGCTTCTATCCCATTAATATTCATGACTAGAACTAACACAATATTGAAAGTCGAGCAGTGACTGATGATATGACTGGGCTTAAAGGGCTTCTGGGAGTTTAGTTAGAGGATGGAAGTTAAGACCCAGCTCTCAAGCTTCAAGGGGGTTAGCTTTCTTAGTTAAACTGGTGCAAGATCCCTTTTCCCATAAGATCTTAACACACGGGAGTTTCAGCTTGGCTCGGAGTTCAGAAAAAGGAAGATGGTTGACTCTAAAGTGTTTGGCTTCTTTGTGACATCCATCAGAAAAATCTAAAATCCAGTTATAAAAGTAAAAGTGAATTATGCTTGTCACTTTAGATTCAAAGTCTTCAGATGTCATGCATTTAAAAAAAACTGTCCAATATACCATTATGATGTAGTAGTAAGTAGGATTTATTCATATAGGACATTTCACATAACAAGGTCACCCAAAGCGCTATACATTGTTTCAGAGTATCAATATTTTCCGTTCATTCCACTCATGGTAATGACAGAAGTGAGATGCCAAACCATCACCCTTCACCAACTTACTCATTACATTCAGACCTATTGTATTTGTGGGGGAACCCGGAGTATGGGGAAAAAACTTTTGCACACCTTCTCACTATTCATAAGGCACAATGGAATAGCAAAATGTATTAGTCGCATTAAAAAATACATCAAACAAACTATTCATAGTAGCCTGTAGTTAGCCTGAGCCTAGCAGGTTAGAATGGAAACCAGGATCCCTGCAGACGGGATCCAGGACCAAATTAATATGTACCGGTAAGTTCCGTCTCAGTTTCAACAATACTATTTCAATAGATAAAATTAAGTATTTTGGCTCAATATTTATCGTCTACATATTTTCATTTCAAAAGTGGAGAGACATTTATGTTTATTTATTGTAAAACACGAAAAGAATAAATTGACGAATGAAAAAAATGCCTCACTTTGATTATCATGCTGTATGGTTTTTAATGTTTCTTGTGCACTTTATTTGTGTGTGTATTTTTATGCATGATATGATATGGGTTTTGAGGCGCTTTTTGTTGCCTTGTGTATAGGAAAGGCGCTCTACAAATAAAAGTGGATTGATTGTTTGATATTGTATTAGTATCAGTGGCACAAAGTAGTTTCAATAATTGTTTATATTTATTGCAATCCTATAATGTATTAATATTCTGTATCATCTATAAACATTAGTAACTGTGACATACCTATACTTATCACATGTCTTCATCCCCAGTGTGGACTCTCCGTGTCTGTAGGACCAGAATCCTGCCACCCTCATACAAATACATAATAATAATATAACTAACACGACGGCTTCTATAGCTCTCACTCGCCCCTGGACCCTCACTTGTCATCCCCCTCTCCCCCTTCCTCAACAATGCTTCAACCTCTCTCCCTCTCTCGCCTGTAGCTTTTCATGTGAGGATTTTATTATTGCAGACAGGAGTGTAGATTCTTTTTCCTTTCATCTGTGATTCATCTCCCCTCCGCTGCTCTTTCCATCTTCATCCCCCCCTCCCTCGCTCCTCCTCTGTTGGTGTTTACGATGCCTCAAGGCTGTCTTATCTGCCTCGCCCTGCCTCAGCTGATAACTGGGCCCTGTCAACTGCTCCTACCCCCTTCCACCATGTTGTGTTCATGTTTGGGTTGTTACATTTAAGAAGTTTGATTGGTTGGCATTGATCCACCTTAGATAACGGTGATACATTTGGGAAAATCTACACGAAACTCCGAGGCTGGGTTAATCAATTAAACCTGGGAAAAAAAATGAACCATGTAATCCAATACATTGAACTAGTTCCTCGCCCTCAAAACTGTTCACATGCATGTATTTTTTTGGCCCCTGTTACATCTTTAGATCAGATATTTCACACAGAAAAGTGAAAAAACAGGACCACCTTCACTCAATCAGCTAACAACCCAAAGCTTCTCTTTCACAAGTATGCAAAGGATACAATGTTTCTTTATAGGTTGTGGTTTGAACAGGAAAAAAACCTCTTTCTTCCTGCTGGGACTAGAAAAATGTATTATTTATGGTAAATGTATCCCAGCATTGATAAGAATGAGATAAGATGTTTCAGGATAATATGTGAAAACAATGTAGACATTATTTGATGCTGTGAGTTACTGAGAAAAAAGTTATTTTCCCCGATGTACAGTGAGGTTCTAATTCAATGCCAGGCACAGCTGGTCAGGGAGAGGCAGAGATGACCGCACACGACCCTTTTTCAGAGTCTGGACTTGACATTAGCTGACAAAATGCCTGCTCCGTCCTTGGCCTGAATGTCACAGAATAACTCTCATCGCACACTCACAGTGTGTGTGACATTGACCACGGACGAGCGGTCCGAACACTTTTCAGAAAAATTTGATTGTTGAAAATATGTATCTATAATGGACATAGCCATATTCTAAAACACAGTGCATCCTTTTCAAAGTGACTCCACATTTTAAATGTTGTTGTGTGTGATTGATATTTTATGTATAGCATTGTACTTTTATTGCAATTATTCAATTGCAAAGTATTTTTTTTTATTTTGGACATCAACTAAAAAACCACATATATACTGTATCTGATCAGAAAAAATGTGTACATATGACATTTGATTTAATGAAATGCTTGCTCCTACACAGTCTTCGCTCATTAATTCTTAATTTGCTCCTCCAACATTCAGTTGTAGTAATAATAATAATGCATTGGTTTTATATAGCACCACTCAAAGACGCTTCACAAGTCATTATTCTTTCACTCCACACACGGTGGTGATAAACTACTACTGTAGCCACACCCGCCCTGGGGCACACTTACAGAAGCGAGGCAACCAGTATGTGCTATCGGCCCCTCCGACCACCACCAACCATTCACACACCAGACTCATTCTTGGAAATGGGGGTGAAGTGTCTTGCCTAAGGACACAACAACAGTTTGGCACTTTACAGCCGCAGCCGCCCCACTGTGACTGGTGTTCCCAAAAGTTAAGTGTCTTGCCAAGGACACAACGACAGCTGACAGTGGGAGTCGATGGAGAAAGTCTTGTGGTGGGCTCGAACTCACAACCTTCAGGCTCAAAGGCCAATGCTCTAGTTTAAGTAGCGAGCGTCAGTCAAAAATATCCACTAAAAATCCATTATCCATTTTAAAAGTAATATACTTTAAGTTTCTACCACTAGTTTCTGGATGATAGATGGTTTTTATCATTGAGTAATGGGCAATAAATACCTTAACATGTGCCTTGAACATTAGAGGGCTCTGGAGATGCTTCCTCATATTCCATACCATTTGAACATACAATAAAAAAACATATTGAGGACACAAGATGAGCTACTCCAATGGCAACCTTACAGAATATAGTCTATGCTTATTTGTTAGTTTCTGCAAGCTTGTGGTTCTTCTAAATAGCTGTTCAGAAGATCAATGCAGTCATATGGCGTTGAAATGGCTTTGTTACATGGCTCCTTGCACAGGAACGCATGGGTAGTTACACACAGAATGTAGAGCGCCAATATAATCTTACCACCTCTATCGACTGGATACACTTCATTTACACCAGAGCAGATTCAATACATTGTAAAATATTGTGAAGGCAAACTTTCAGGTTTGCATAGACGCAGAAAAGAAAAGTATTGTCCTTTTACCTTGAATAATGCTGTTTGATTAATCACTGCACCAAAGTTACTCTCCGCTCGTCCTTCTGTGTCTGTCATGTGGCTGCATGTGCCAGAGAAAACAGTGCAAGGGTGAGACAGGGCACAGCTGCTGTTGCTTTGACTCCAGTAAAATGTTGTTTCATAAAGCACATTACAACTTTTATGAATTCAAATAATTCATAAAAACACATTCATTAATATGAATTTCATTGTATCATCCTGTCAAATGGGAATAATAACACCTTAGTTTGGATGGATTATATTCTTTGGTCCTGACTTTATGCCCAAAATAGACAGGTCGATGCTAAAGCGGATTTGTAGAACAGTCGGCCAATGCGAGTTCAACTATGGCACGAACAAAACACAAGAAATACATGCTGTAGAAAAAGACGGAATCAACCTTGAATGAAACATTCGGGAATGGACTTTACAATAAAGATTTATATTCTACAACATTGCATTGAGAAAGTTCTCTCTCGTTTCGATTTTTTAGAAACCTGTATTTTCTTACTAACATTGAACAGATTTACTGGTGTAGTTTTGTAATGAAATGTTTTGGAAGCCCTTCAAAGTTGATTTGTTTACAGCTTCTGAAGGATGCTTCTCGCTGTGATAGCCTCTTTGAAAGCCTCTCGTTGGGCGGATTCTTTTAGAAGAGCCATACTTTAGGGTGTCTGTTGAGTATGTTGTTGTCTATCACATCTCGTCTCCCAAAGAGTTGTGTTCATTTTGAACCCACTATTTAGTCAGTTACTTTGACTCAAAGATGTTTTTTGCTTGCAGTTGTGTAATCATTACTTATTTTTGCTGAATTTGTTTTTATTTTTTAATAAACTTGTATGTTGTGTGGCTTTTAAAAGCAGCATTTTTTCCCCAGTTTGCACGGTAGAGAATCTTAACTTGTATACATTGTTTGTTGCAGATTTCTGGGTGTCCCCCCTGGCAGAGGCAGCTGCCCCCTCACTGGCCCTCTGCCCTTTGAGCTCATCTACACAGACTACCACGGCCTGCAGCAGATGAAGCAGCACATGGGGCTGTCGCTGAAGAGACACAAGTGAGTGCACCTGTGCTGCTGCTCGTGAGACGGAGCGGAGAGAAGCCGGCGCTTCCTCCTCTTGCACCCTTCTTTATTGGCAGTGTTTATGGATTCATTATGACTGGTAATAAGGTGTGCCTGTCATGGTCCAGATGCCTAATTGTAACTCACAAAGCTTGTTTAGCTCAGTCCGTCTGCCACCACACAATTCTAATCAGTCATTGGGCCATATTTATCAGAAACGTCTATTTTTAGAGGTCATCTTTCATTTACATGGTTTGCTTTTTATACCTTAATTGGTCTTATGGAGAATAAGATACTTTAACACAAGGGCAGTGCAATATGGTCCATTTGATTCATTTTAAAATATTCCATCTTGTCTATTCCATCTTGTCTATTTTTGGTGATTCCGCAGAACACTGTGAGCAAAGTGCCAGTGTGACGGAGCAAACAGAGAATGCCCTTCTCTCCTGATCTCACGTTACAGGACACCTATGAGAAAGAACTCCTGTCTGTCAGTAAACACATAATCAGCTTTAAACCTGTACCTTTTCTCTCCTCTTTCTCAGCCTCATGTCATATCGCTCATGTTGTCAGGTGCATGTTGGTAAAGAACTATGTATAAAACATTGCACTAACTGTTGTGACGGCTTCAAAGAGCTGTGCCACACAGGGGTCGGTGTGATTTGACGCGTGTAATTTTCCTGGCGGCCAAAACGGCACTTCAAGCAATGCTCCATAATAGAGAGTCACCTAAAGTCCGAGCTGCCCCCTAGCAACACTTCTATATTTTCAGACTCTGTAGCAGTCTGCTCTGGTTTCAAGGTAATTTAACGGGTCCTTTGACCTCCATGGGCCTGTGTGGCTTTGGACAAAACCTGATAGCAGTTGACTGGAGTGAGGAACCATGCCCTGTGCCATCAAGAAATTCATTTTACACTCGCTCTAGAATACATAGTGCTTGTTTTTATATTTCATTTATTATGCTAAAGTCAGAGTTTTTGTGCTCATTATGCTAAAGATAGACATTATATAATCGTTTCTTCTTGATGCTAGAGTTAGAGATTGTTGTCATTTACTATAAAGTGATTATTCATTAATCTTGTGTTGTGTGCTACTCATTCCTGCTGTTCTGTAATTGGTGATGCAACACTGAAATTTCCGCAGTGTTGGACGAATAAAAGATCTCTTAAAATTAATACACGTATACAACACTCAAAAATACTTTTCTGTGTGATGTTATACAGACTTGTTTACAGTGGAGTTTATGGTGATGTCACACACACACACACACACACACACACACACACACACACACACAGTACCACCTCATCATTTGGCTGCCCTGAATCCGCATACTACAATATGGAAAGATGCATATTTTCTACAGGCGCAGCGCTGGTGATTGCTACCTTTATCAAGGTCTCGTTGTTTAACCATTTAATGTTCACTCCTTGAAAAAAATAAATGCATTTTTTTATTTTTTTTTATTTTCCAAGCCGTAGGAGCACTAATAACATAGAAAAACAAACAAGAATCTGTCTTTTTTTCTAACCCCTAGTTTTTTTAATTATAGGCCTTTACCAATTGATTGCGTTGCAGTTTGATGGAAAAAGTGCCCAAAATTAAGTGAGATGCCCCACAGAGGTATATTTCCGTTCCAAGCTTCTAGTAGATATGAAAACTCAAAAAGTGATCCTCCAAATTGTTGAGGAAACCAATAAAAGGTTAAATTAGCAGTGACTTGTTAATGAAGTAAGTTGTCATGATTTTAGATGAATGTGTGTTCAGTTTGTATTGTTGCAGTGTCAGCTCTCTGTTAGTGGGAAGGATGTTTAGATTTACCCTGACAAAAGTGCACATTGACAAAATAACTATCCTTCAAAGAAACCTGGACCTGAAAGTGTGTCTGAAGGAAGCAGCGTGAGCACTATTTTCTAAAAGCTTTGCGGTGCGTGTGTATGAGTGTGTGGCATTACAAAAGCGCTCTTAATGGCTTGTGGTAGTTCAACAAAGAATCAAAAAATCTAGGCCACAGCAGGCGTGGGACTGAGGCAGAAGAACTTGGTAATGTGCAAAAGGGAAGTTTGGGTTGTGAGAACACTGCACCAGCTTATGTGTGGATTAGACACAACACAGACACAAATGCACTGTGTATACTAATGATAACCATGTTGATTAATGTTCCTATTTCAGTCTCAAAATGGCAGGTGCTGATTTTCAACATCTTCAAGTCAGTATCACTACCAACCCCTAATAATTTGAAACCAAAACTGCATCCAATGAAAGATATATAGATACAGTACATGCCAAATAGTGGATTATAGCTCCTCTGGGTTTTTCTGAAGTCAGCTCTATTTACCACAGTGGGCCAATGTTGCAAATCTGCAACATCTCAGAATGCATTGAAGAATTCTGTGAAGGTCTTTGTCAGAAAAAAATGCAGGATTGTGTGATAATTTTCTTCAAATATCAGTTTGTTCCTATCATTCAAATTTATTTGGGCCCTGTGAGCGTTAAAGGGCTCTGAATATCACTATTTTATTTGTGTTGTCAAGTATGGGGCAATTCATTTATTTGGGACCTAATATTACAACAACAAATTATGGTTTAGATTTTAGAAGTCTAATGCTCTGGGGTCTTATTTCTAAAGCTCTCGTATGCACAAAGCCAGGAATTGTGTACCAGCTCTGCCACACAAAGTCTGTGAGCTATAACCGACTGAGGGCCGCCACACAGACGTCAGGCCTTGCTTCAGAGGTTCAAAAAGCAGAGGCGCAGAGAGTGTACTTTATTTTAACCATGTGTTTAATATCTCTGCGACATAAATCATGCTTTTGTATGAAACGGGCCTATTTTAATCATGTGTCATAATGTTACAACTCGCACACGCAGATCCAGCGTGGCCGATGGCTGTGTGTGTGGCTGCGATGGTCATGAATCCTCCTCACTCAGTCTCTTCACACTAACACGCCTCGTCAATAAATGAGACCCTTGATGTATTTTGGTTGTTATCATGGATTTTGGGGCCTGGATGAATAAAGAAGACATTTAATGAGACGATACACAATACAAAGAATTGACCAAAGAATAGATATGAATACCTCATTTGCAGATTATTTGCTCCACATGCGTCAAAGTGTTGTATTCCTCTTGCAATAATCTTCAACATCATTTGTTACTGGATAGGGGCCCATGATTTTTTTCTTTTTTGCAAAATTATGAAATAATTTTCAACCAAACAAATTCTTCTCCTCCCTCTGATGGTAACAGGGACACCCTTGCTACTTGTTTATTATATATTCGACATAAATTATTTTTTAGATATACCTTCTTTATTTATTTATTTATTTATTAACCTTTATTTAACCAGGAAAGTCCCATTGAGATTAAAAACCTCTTTTTCAAGGGAGTCCTGGCCAAGAGGCAGCAAAATTGAATCTTTAAAAAGTAACTAACATTGTTCTGGTGCTTATTGTGTAAAATGCAAAACTTTCTGTAGCCTTTGTCTTTTCGTGTGTCTTGTGAAACTGTCACTATCAATGAACCAGGAAAAACATTTATTTTTAAAACCATAAATGGTTCAGGTGCAATGCAGGCGTGTTGCCGTCCTTCTCTCTGACTCTGTGAACAGCATATTCTCCCCAAATGCCAGTCGAGCTGCCGGCTGCATCTAATTGTTTGCTGAGGTCAGCGCTGTGTGCTCAGTCATTACCACATGTGATTTCTGCGCTCGCTAACACAATTTGACTTCTGCTGTTTGCACCACACAGCCTTTTCTCTGCCCGCGGCATCTGCTGAACAGATTATTCCAATGCTTTAGTCATAAAATAAGATATATAAGACTGATTCTACACTTAATGCAATAGATTCCTTTAACAACCAGAACATTTAAGATATATATGTAAACAGATTGTGTATTTCAAGTAATGCCCTTTTCATTTTTGTATGATTTACAATATGCCTTTTTTTTGTTACTGCATGTTTCTTTTAAACACTTTGTCCGTCCGTGGAAGCGGATTCCTCTCAATGTGGGCATCCCAGAGGTTTCTCACTTTTTCCCACTGTGTTCCTTGCAGATTCAGGCGGGTTTAAGGACAGTGGTGATGATCTGGAACATTTTAGGACATTCATTAAGATTTATGGACATTGGTCATCCCACTCCCATGTATTTGTTATTATTGCATTTCCTGTGTTTGATTCTCTTATCTGTGCTGGTGAATCAACAACTTTGTAGAGTCCTCCAAGACGACTGCTGTTGTGATTTAGGGGTATACAAAAAATATGTAATTGAGTTGAAATTTTCCCTTTGAATCTTGTCGGCTTTGAGATATATGCAATTAAGAAAGGCATGTCGAAAGCAAAGAAAGCAGCCCAACTGACCCTGGACCACATTTTGCGAATCTCTGAGTGGTTCATGTGATAATGGTCACTACAGGTCTAGGGCAGGGCAGGCTCAATATGGACCCCTCTTCTCTCCCAGTGCCTCTGTATTGGACCCTCAGCTGAATCCAGCCGTGCGGTGAGCTGAAAGCATCATTAATCAAGTGCTGCAGCCGTGGGGCCCTCAGCTGCCTGTAATTACTGTAGCTTTGTGTTACAATCACTAGCTACATTATTAAACTTGGGTGGTACAGCTAGGCCCTGATATGGACAAGCATCTGTCATATAGAAACCCAATTTGGTCATTTAAAGTTTAAGATGCACTTGGAAGTTGGATGGCCTGAAATACTCATTAGTGTATTCAAACATTTATGGCCCTTTAATGATATTTATGGACATTGGTGATCTACTGCCTATGGACCAATGGCTGTGCTAGTTATTACTGAATTCCATGTGTTTGAACGGTTTGATTATCCGATGGTGAAATAATTGTAATTGAACATTTAAGCATTGAACTTCTGTATTGCAGGCAGGGTTAGTGTCTCTTGAGGCTGCATTTGTAAAACCTTAAAACAGATGAAGATACCACTTAAATATACTTAGTCTTCAAGGTTGCTCATTCAACCTGCACATTGATTTGAAAATAGTAATTCACATTTTAATATTATCTTTTTATTCCTTTTAATGAATAGTGAAACACTTAATGTGTGTCTTTTTTCTCTCTACGACATTTTAACTTTTTCCTGCTGACGACTGGAATCCATGACCTCACGGTTTTTCAACACATCTATGAATCTTACAATGTGCTGACTTGGCTCACTCTATTTCATTCATCCAGATTCCCATTTTACAACATATACGACTTGCGTATGTCAGTTAATAAAACAAATATGGTAATATACCGATGCTTGGTACAATTTGCATTGAATAAGAATGAAATACTATTGCCTGGTACCATGGACAGCTCCCATACGGTTATAGTGGCTGCGGTTTGATTATGTGCAATGGATACCCCAAGTCCTATTATTAACATAAGGATCAACATCAGAACCAAATCCGATTGTGTTTATTGCCATTGTAAGTAAGGAAGTCACAAACTAGGAACTTGCTTTGGTAAATGGTGCAAACAAGTAATAAAGTCGTCAAAACAGATTTAAGGCATGCATAACAATCTTAATACAATTCTAAAATGTATATAACACAACATTTAACAGAGCTGTTTCCAGAGGTATGATATTAAAAGGTGGCAAAAGTATAGTGATGACTGTAATGGCCCGAGATCTAGCAGAGGGGAAGAAACTGTTCTTAAGGCATGAGGTTCTGGATGGACCGTAACAGAGTGACTCAAATAGTCCTTGTGTAGGGTGAGAAGGGTCGGATCACAAATGAAGAATACACATCATGTAGAAGCTGTATTCTTAGTTTGATCTGATGAACAACCACAGAGAAGCCAAGCTCTAACCGGTCAAGATTAGCTGCTCACCCTCTGGAATTCAAATATACCCCCAAATAGACAAGCAATACATTTGTATCTGCATGTCTCAGAACAAAAAACATCTTGACAATAACTGGATATGCTTCCATGCTGATTCTATTGAAATTGATTTCCCTGCTATTACCGTTGAATGAAATGACAGCAGGGCTCGACATGGCCATTACCTCTGCCTGTGTGTGTTTATTTGTGCATACAGCCTGTAGGTGACACAGCCTCTTTTCGCCTGTTAAACCTCACTGAGCAGTCGTTTAACCCAGATTAGGCCGCACTCTGATCTCCTGATAGATATTCTGCTCATCTGCTCCTGCGCTTATCCCCTCTTCCTGCTCCCTTTTTTACTTCTCCTCCTTCCTTTGGGACGTCTTATCTCAAGGCACCAATGCGTTTACCCTTTCAGAGGCACCACAACAACACCAAGCCAAAGACAAGACAAGTGAAGCTAACTGTGGTTATTAATAATTCAATTTGAGATTCCGTGGCCTTTAAAACACACATTGTTTACCTTCGAATCTCAGCCTGGGTGGAATCCACAGACGTTCAGCAAAAACAAGTAAAGTGGATGTATGGGCTTGGTTTGCTGAATGTTACCCTTTATAGATTGTATTGAGATTATACTTTAATAATAATGTATCTCAATAGGGGCATTATGCAACTTTTTATGTGAGAAAAAAAAGTTTATATTATAGTATGTTTGTCCCTGTGGCTGTAAGATTGGTCAGAGTGGTGCCTTTACTTTCCATCGACATTGGTGTATGGGTTTCTTGAGTAATTTTCTTTTGGATGATTTTCTCAGCTGAGTGACCCTCTCATCAAAAAACAATTGAAATACTACAAAAGCAAAGGCGTCATGAGGCGCTCTCGCACAGTCACTGGGTAACTACAAGGTCAAATATGCTAAAATATAAACTTTTTCAAATGAAAGGTTTTGACAATTATATTGAAAAATGATAGAGATAGAATACAATAGAGAATATCTCTCTGCACCCGAATACCATGCACTTGATGATTCAAAAATCAACAAATGCTCCAAAAACAAGATTTAATTTGCAGACTAGTCTACGTTATTGAAATATTGATGGCCTCTGTCAGTTTGTATCTCAGTGGAATGATCTGATTGGATAAATAACAAGTCATTTCTTGTTGTAGATGTCACATCCGTGTGATCGACACATTTGGGACAGAACCAGCTTATAACCACGAGGAGTACGCCACGCTGCATGGTTATCGGACCAACTGGGGCTACTGGAACCTGGACTCCAAACAGTACATGACTATGTTCCGTAAGTCAAATTATACAAACTATTATTTTTATTTTATAGATTTTTTTTAAACCCATATTCACACTTCACAAACCACACTTCACACAACAAACAGTCAAAGGAATAGGATACAAAATGAACAGTAATAATGAATGATATACAGTAGTGGTTGTGAAGATTATGCCAGTATTGGTGAAACCAACTGAAACATCCAATTAAAAAGTGACTGTATTCTAACATTCATACTGGTCAAATTCCAAAAAGGCTTTTGCTTATAACTCAAATCTTGAGCCTAAAAAACCAACATTTCGAAGCGTGTTTTATCACAATGTTGATCGGTTATCATATGGCTCTTGTTAATGAATTACCCCAAAATTGTATTGAGATTTGTATTAAATGTTTTTAAACATAATAGTGAGACTACTTTTTATGGTATTTAATGTTTTTGAATTTAGAATAATTTATCAAGTAGAAGATATGAACTAGAATACGCACTCAGAAAGCTCAAAGTTGAGTTTGCATTTTACATGTGAAACTTGTTCGAAAGTAAAAATGTGAAACCAATATAGGATATAGACTTATTACATGAAAACCATTTCAAGCCTGTTTTTTATCATTTTATTATTTTCATCATTATACTTTATTGCAGGCATATCCAAACCAAGGCCCACGGGCCAAATGCGGCCCACTGTTTCATTTTATGTGGCCCTCGGCCAACTTCAGATCAACCAATATAGTCATACTGCACCTTGTTGTACAGCTCTGCACCTTTGGAATTACTCAATGCCCAAAGCCTTTCAAATTGGCTTCGGGCATTCAACACATTAATGTTGAATGGATCAGAGGTGGTCGCGAAATATAGTATGTGTCTGCTTCATCCAAACCCTTTTCGAACCAGTAGAGTTTGAAAAGTGTCATTAAAGTGTGAAGATATGGCAATTTGTGTTTGAAATAAAAACTAACCAATCCAATCTAATTTTCTAAATATTAAATTTTTCTTAGATGTTTTATTTGGGGTTTTCACAAGTTGTGAGCCTATTATAAACATTATCATATTTTAGTTTCACATTGTAAGTTAGTAATTGTATGTCAATAGACTTTCTATTGTCTATTCGAGTTTCACCTGTTTGTCTCCTGTAAGTAAAGATAACATTTCCTTTATTAGTCCCACAGTTGAGAAATTTCAGTGTTGCAACGAGAGTGCGAATATTGAGCACTCAAAACTATGAATATTACATTTTGTGGCTTTTAACCCGATATAAACAAATGTCAGCGCTCTTAACTGTCCAGCCCTCTCAGACATGCACTGAAAAGTTTGACAGAAATCCTGACATGAACATAACACGTCTCTGTCTGTTGTAATTTGCTTCGACAGGTCTGGCTGCTTGCTCACTTAATTGGGATAATGTGTTGGACATCTCTATTTTTAACATACCTCCAAGCACGCTTCAAAAACATACCCCGGCTTTGTTTGCCTTTTCCTAACACTTTCTTTTCTGTAATGTGTCTTGTCTGCCACCGTTCAGATCTCAATGTTACTATCTATATCATTAAAGTGAATGTCAGATACTTTAGAAATTGTTAAGATGGAGCAAAACTTTTTATAAGACAAGACAGTTTTTTTTTAAGACTGGTTAGACGCGCCCATACTCATCCCTGCAGCTTTCTGTCAAAACTAATCCAAATCCTTGAGGCCCCTTGTCATTGGTTCACCTGTTCTTTTGGGGAGGGACTATTTTAAACAAATACTTTCTCTACATGATAGTACATCTTCTTATAGTCAGATATATACACTATTTTGAGAATGAATTATAATTAAGGACATCACCTTTAACTAAAAACCTCAGTTCTTCAACATTATTATATAAAACTTTCTGGCGCTACCTCAGTCAGAGAGCGATGGCTTCATAACACATTCACATTCATGATAGTTATAGTGCAGTAATTGTTTAACGGGACATAACAAAGAGTGAGTGTGTGGTCTCGTCTTACCTCTGCTTCCAATAACAACTTCTCCGCACTGTCATTTCCCTCTTTGTTCGGTGCCTTCTCTCACTTGCGCACTCTTCAGCTCACACTCCGGACAACTCTTTCATGGGCTTCGTGTCAGAGGAGCTCAACGACACCGAGAAGAGGAACATCCAGCAGAACAAAGTCAACAGCATGGCGGTGGTTTACGGCAAGGAGCCCAGTATGTGGAAGGTAAGGGTCACTCACTATTGATCTGAAGTGAGCGAGTAATTGAGAGTCCAGGGTCAGTGTTACAGCCGACCAATCAGGGTCATTGTTTTAAGGTCAGGGTTATGAGTCCAGGATCATCTGGATCATTACCTGATATCTGATCGTGTCTTACTTACTGTGGGGCTCTTAAGTGATGACGTAAACCACTGCACTTCCAGTAAACAAAATGACAGTCTATGTGCTTGAATGTGAAGTCATAACATGTCACAAGACTTCTCTGTCCTGTCTTTTGTGGTAAGAGTTAAGAACAATGAACAAAACTGCTGTTTCTCCAACATTATGCCTTATCACTTATCCATTTTGTCATTGTAATCTTCCCATGCTGCCTCTCCATGTTTAGTCCTGACTCTGGGCACCAGCAGGAGGCCTGTCCCTGTGCTCCCAGCAGGACTCCGAGGAGGTCTCTGAGGAGGCTTCAGAGTCAGCGTCGGTTCATATGGCATTAACATGTCCCAGATGGTGCGACGCCATTAGAGACTACACATCAGAGCTGCTCTAAAGTCTATTCTGAGCCACAGGCAGGAAGTTAGTGCGGAGACCTGAAACCAGGACTTTACAGACGGAGCACCCGTGGGGGTACACAAAAACACAGAAACACACCATCCAAGTGTAAATACAGTAAAAGAGCAGAAATGCAAAATAAAATACATAAAGCAGGTTTCGGGTCAGTCGTTCAAAAGGCGAAGCGAGGTGGGGAGGAAGCTGGATGTGGCCCTTTTTGTTTTGAATGGGAGGGACCTGAACCTACGCCCTGATGGGAGCAGACTATAATGTGAGTGCAGAGTGTAGGAGTTGTCTGTGGAGATTTTTCCTTAAATCTTTGTTATTGTAAATGTCTGTAAGTGAGTCTTGCTGCTGTCCAATGATTTAGCTGCTGATTTGAATGATCTTATTGAGTGAATTCCGATGTATGAGACTGAGTGAACCCCTTGAATGTGTGAGAGTTTTTCCTTGTGATCATGAGAGTTCTTGTCGGGACTGAAACTGCAGCACTTTGAATATACCTAATTCTCACTCTTTGAATATAACCTCGCTCTTAATAAAGAATTATATTTATCATTTGTTGTTAACTGTCAGTAATTCATATGAAATAAGAATAAATAAATGCAAGCAATATCCTAATTTAACAAAACCTTAATTATACAAACTTGATGATGATTGATAAAACAGTATTCAGTTAAAACAATTGAGTGAAAGATGAAAGAGATAGATTTCACATTTATGTATTAAGAGAAAAAGGCCCTGGAGATGTGCAATTAACTTTCGAGGGGTGGTCCTCAGGGTTACAAAACATATGAAGAAGACAGTACAACAAGTACCATTAGCTCTGTCAACCTATCACATACAACAGAGGAAGAATAATAAGATTGTCCCTGTTTACACAATAACTGGAGGTGACAATATGTAGATGATTTCTGTTTTTTGTTTTTGTTTTTACCACTGATTGATTCCCATAAAATAATTGTGAGTCCAGCTGAAATGTATTGTTGTCTGTAGTTTCAGGAACAGCAGGGATGTGAAGCCTGCTGTGTGGGGCCATTACGCCTCACTTGCACATGTGGTTCCACACAATTTAGCCCATGTTATTTGCCAGCAATTTTCTTCTCACAGACAATCTGCCCATTCTTTGGCATTCTAAGGAGCACTTCATTTGTTCAAGACATTACACTGTTTTTTGTCTTTGATTATTTGTGTTCAAAGTAGTGCAGGTATTCTAGTAGGCGATGCACATTGATTACACACAGGATTTGAAAGTCGTTCTGGAAAAACAGTGTGCAAGATATGTGAGTCACTGATGCTAGTACATTAATATAATTACATCAAAGAAGATGAATGTAAGAACACTGCACACCAACACATTATGCACATTTAGGATTTCTTATTTTGTACATTGATTTACTTGTGACTAATGTTTCCTGTTTGTGTCCTTTTCCCTGGCGCTTCACTGGATCCGGCTTAATGGCTTTTACTATAGCTTCAGGTAAGATTGTTAATGTCAAAGCATATAAACAGGGACTTGCCAAAACGTATGCCATAAGCTTAGACATTGAAGCTTTACAGTCTCTCAGAAACAACCTTGGGAAAATTAAATGACTGAAATGCAGGTCAACAACAATCACAGGTGCTGTGATTCCCTTTATGCTAATTTTTGTTGTCTGCTGCACTTAGCACTTGAGCTAATCTCCTAATTGGCTGGGAAAATCCTAGTGGAGGAAGGTATTGATCGGTACAGCTTCCAATTACTGCTGCAGGGGGCCGGCAGTCAGAACAAGTAGAGAGGGAACTGCTTAGCAATGGTCAGCCACTCGATACTCAGCCCAGGGTCCTGCTGGACTCATGATTTAATGTAGGCTATTACTGTACAGGCACGTTCTGTGGAACACAGCAGCTCAACCTTGACTTCCTTATAGCCTCTGTGCGGGAAATATTGTGTGTCTTCTGAAAATCATTTGGATGTTACGTTATGTAACACTGCATAAGGTACTAAACTAAATGAACTGATGCATTGTTCACTATTATTGTGCAAAGATCATTGAGGCACATGGCAGTTATGTAACCAATGCAATACTTCTTTATTACTGCAGTAGATAAACAGGAGACATGTTGGCTTGTTTCTATGGAAATTATGACAAACAATTGTGTGAAGTATTGTGTTTCAGACAATTCTGTTGGGTAATTCTGACAGTACATCTAAAATAAACCAGCGATACAATTTGCTTTTATCTAAACTTGTTTTTATTACTTCATTCCAAACATTAACACATTTTTCAGTAAAGCCCTTTACATAAAAACAAATACAACTTATCCCACTACATCTTTAGGGTAAGGAGGGCTTTCTTCAGATCCTACACCGTTACATGGAAGTCCACGGCACGGTGTACTACGAGACCCAGAGACCTCCTGAAGTCCCGGCTTTTGTGAAGAACCACGGCCTCCTGCCACAACATGAACTGCAGCAGCTGCTTCGCAAGGCCAAGGTAAGTCAGCAAAAAAAAAAATTATAGAAAATCTCTGACATCAGCAGTGTGTTGTGCTGTATTTGAGGATGTACTCTGCCCTCTGCCCAGCTCTTCATTGGCTTTGGTTTTCCCTACGAAGGACCTGCTCCTCTTGAAGCAATAGCCAATGGTTGTATTTTTCTCCAGCCCAAGTTCAGTCCATCACACAGTTCTCTCAATCATGAGTTCTTCAGAGGCAAGCCCACGTCCAGACAGGTATCACACCCACTATTTGTCAAGTGATCCATTTGTCAGTGCATTTTGTCCAGTCTGATATGTCTGTGCTGTGGTGTGTGCTCGTCCCCAGGTGTCCTCTCAGCACCCCTATGCAGAGCAGTACATCGGCAGGCCTCACGTCATCACTGTTGACTACAACAATTCAGAGGAGTTTGAAACTGCCATTAGAGAAATAATGAGAACCAAGGTACACAGTCTTTCAACAGTCACAAAATTTATGTTTTACTTTATATAGTATAGCTTTCTATGCAGTGTTTTAGAACTGATAATTAGATCCATATGCTTTATATAGGCACAGGGACCGATACAGACACGACTAACCTTTTGATAGAGAGCTGCCGTGACTACGCCAATTCCTCAGAAAAGAGAAGTCTGTAAGCTATAGAATTGGATTTCTTAACATGCTCATTGAAAATGTGAGCAGAAAGAAAATATGAGGGCAAGAGGCAGTGCCAAGAGTAGAAGAAGGTTAATTAAGAAGTCAAGAGGGAGATTAAATCTTTCTGGGGAGGGTGAAAAATGGGGAAAGCATCAGGAGAAAGAGACCAGAAGTCCTGGCTGGATGGATACATATGTCATTATCACATTAATTATACTTATAATGAATAATGTCTTTATAACTGCAATTGTCAAGCCTTGACTGCTTAAGCAGGCTGGGATGGAAATGTCATCCAATCCAAAAAAAGAGGCTGCATTAAGAAAATTAAATTGAAATGTCTGAATAATTGATAGTTTAAAACTGCATATGAATGTTTTTTTTCTGTTGGCTAAATCTGTAAGTATTCTCACAACCAATCGAGCAAAATGAGTTTTGAATGATAACTAAATTATACTGTATACGTTGCAAAGTGGCATGATAAAAGTTGCCTAGACCTCAGACACCATAAATGGCAAATATTATAAGTCTTCAAACATGTCTTTTTGCTGTGCAATCTTTTGAATATGGAAAAAAGATGATTACACTCATTGCTAAACGGAAAAGGTGGTAATTTTTAGATATAATTCCCCCATGGTAACAATTTCATGTTACTATGATAGAGCAATGACAGCTGGTTCCATATTGTCTCCTCTACATAACAGCAGCCTAAAGATTAATCTCACTTTCACTTGGCTTAGAGACAAAGTGGGGACAGCTGTCAGAGTGATATTTTAAACGGAGTAAATACTCGTGCCTGGAGCTGATTAGAAGCAGTTTGCATGTAGATTAGGAAAAGGTGATTTCTGCCTCTGTGGATTCTTGTGTTGTCAGACGAGGTAAGTAGCACTGGCTCACTGCACCCCTCTGTTGGGTCCCTTCACCCTCCGTTGCGGCCATCACGCTCCAGCAAACAGCCATATGCAGAAGCAGCCTGATAACAGTCACTGATACCTCCCTCTGCGCCACGTTCTCACTCATAACAAACCAGAGCTGTGTACGTGAGCTGCTCTGTCATGCAGGACCACGCAATCTCTCTCTGTTGTACAAAGCTGCTCACGTGCCACCAACTGTATTTTTGTTATACCTTCAAACTTCAGATGCAACTTATATCTTAGCAAAAAAGCTTTAATTGTTAAAGTAAAACCACCAAACAGTGCAAATGTTATTTCAATCCATTGACATCATGGATCATCGACCTTTTTCACCCAGAGAGCTAAGTAGCCAGTTTAATGGCAAGTACCCCATGTACTGCTATAGTATCCACAGTCATTATTTATCATTATTAAGTTAGTCTGCAATCATATTGGAAGTGAGCATTTGAATCATTGAATCATTTAGAAATAATCAACGAATCAAAGTAATTGCTAAAACCTTTGGGGAGCTGCTTGGAAAGTGAACCAGACCAACTTATTGCATGTAAACAGGTGCATAGAGCAACATAGAAAATAGAGAAACAAAATCCACCTCTGATCAAAACGTTTTGAAGTGTTTTTCCCAAATGTGAACTAAATACTGCAGCATGTATTTTACCTTGGAGGCGTGTTTGTTAGTCCTCTTTTAGACATCACTTCAATCTTATTGAATAAAACATTTGTATAGATTTGCTGCAAGAAAGAAGGCCGGCTGGTTCAATCCCAGATGATTTTTCTTTGAGAAAGACCTTGTCTCAGACCTCTGAGGAATGTTGCCTCCTACTGTATATGCAGCACATCAGCATCTTCTAATGCAATGTTGACCTTTGCTTCCTGGTGAAATACAGTATGTGTAAATCATAAAGACACATACACTTCGGTTGACGGGATTGTCAGTCTCAACAGTCACAGAAGAAAACAGACTCTAACACAGAAAGGTTATCAGGCTTAAAGGAAGTTTCTTGCTGCAGCTTGAAATACTGTGGAGCAGATGGTCTGGATGTATCCAGTGCAACTGCTGAAGTGTAACTAAATAAAACTAAAGAGGAAGAGCACTTTCAGGTACCATCTTGGGTCCTGCTATGTGTTTGTTTTGTGTCTGCTCTTACAAAGCAGATTAACATAAGGCTTTGATCAGATTTGCAGTGTGTGTGACTTTTGAAATTGCATCATCTCCGTGTACTTGCTTCTCTGGGGTTTCACTTAAACTAGACTCCAGTCTGATTTCACACACGGCTAAACCTCAGGCTGCCTCTGATTTGAGATCGGAAATGCAATTCTGCGAGTCGTGTATCATTTGCCGAGCCAGGTCCTTTCCATTGGGGCATAAAACAAACCCCTTCGATCCCTCTGAAGTCCAAAGTTTGCTACCATTTTATTTTCTGTGCACTTTGGTGTTGACTTCTGTGCCAGCAGCAAAAATTTGTATCCGTTTAGTTCAAAATACTCTTCTGTATAAGTTTCTGTATAAGTACGAAAATATATTAATTAATTTTGTAGTTTAACTCTTATTCCATGTTTCTGTATATTGTATTTATTGTATTAATGTTTATAGATGTATTTAGACCTTTATATCACCATTCATATTTTGTTCTTATACTTCCAGGTTGAGCCGTATCTGCCTTATGAGTACACATGTGAGGGTATGTTGGAGAGAGTCCACGCCTATGTCCAGAATCAGGTACGATCCCAATGTGCCCTGGACACATTATCCCCCCACCACTCTTCCATTATCTGTTCCATTCAGCACGCACACCCGCTCTTAGGGCCACTTAGCATGTAGGGTCTGACACGTATGTAAGCAGACTACTTTTGATAAATGCGACTGAAGCTCATTAGGAACCACAAATTCACTCTGAAGACAAGGAGCAGGAGTCGCTGACACTAATGAGGAGGGATGAATGAAGAGCACTAGTGTGAGGAGCACAGACAAGACTCAGTACAATCACATCAGAGGGAGTGGTGGTGCACCCTCCCCACTGGTGACAGTAGATGTGGCCTGAAATTTAACTTTAGAATTAGACACTTCATTAGATTATTATTATGTTATTATTAACAATCTTTATATGGATAATTATTTCTTTGTATGTTGTTTTTTGTTCTTGATTTTTGACCCTGACCTTTTGTTTCTTAAAAGCTGAATCTGAGAACCCCATGGAGCACCAAGGAATGGCAGGACCATCTTTGTGGAGCTGAGGCCCTCTAGTTAGATATAGATGGATGATTGATGGTTGTAGATGGATGATCAGTTGCTGATATGCATCTGTGGTCCCCAGTTGCACTCACAAACTCACTCATTCACCCTGAACTCTGTTTTTATGGTAGGAGGAAAAGGAGCAGGTAGGAAGAAACCAATGCAGACACGGGCAGAACATGTAAACTCCACAGAGAAAGTGTAGTGTGAAAAGTTGAACCCATGACCTACTTGTTGTGTAGCACAGGGACTAACCATCCTGTCGCCCTTGATTTTTTTAGCCATTTAGACATATATTTTCTATCCTCCTCAAAGCAGATTGTGGTTGTGATTGAGGTGGATGTTGTCTATTAATGTCACACGTTCTAATTGAATTTCAATCTGGAGAGACCACACAGACACAAAATCAAAATAATATATTCATTTTGTTTGTTTGGCAACCTAGGCCCCGGGTGCGGCACTTGGTCCGTGACGATCATTCATCGTGTGCGGTTTACAATCCAACAGTACCTACAATCCCACAGGACCTAGGTTCTGTTGGTGGCATAAGACCAAGGTACTGCTGGTGGCATAAGATCTTGATACTATTGGTGGCTTAAGACCTACAGGTACTGGTGGTGGTATAAGAGGGAAGTTGTGCTGAGAGTGTGCTCTCAAAGGACGAGGAGGAGGTGGGGAGGTGTTGTTTGCGAAGTGTGAGTAGACAAAATGAACGCCAGAACTCCTTGCAAAGCTGGAAAAGGGTTAGTTGTTGGGAGGTTTCCACTTTTCAACAGCTGCCTTATTTGGCCGTGTGATTGGCCGTGGGAGAAAGGGGCTGGCTTGGATGGGCTGCAGCAGGTAGTCTACCAGACTGAACATCCGCAGGTTGCCTTTGACTAAATGCATTGAGGAGGTCTAAGTTCATCACCCCTGATTGATTCCATCCTTCAGAGAGCTGCAGATCCTTTGAAGTGTGTTGTACCTGTGCTCTAATGTCCTCTGTCACCTGCAGGACTTCTGTGCCCCTGAGCGCCCCTTTGTCCCGGCCAACCTGTCAAGACCCGGGACAGCTGGCGGCAGCAGGCGGCCTGGACCTCTGTTTGTGCCTCTGTCCAACTCCACTGCGCTGGGCTGGGCCTGGAATGTGAGCGCTCCCACAGCTTGGCCTCCGCTGAGCTCCCTACGTCTGCTGGTGTCACAGGAGGGACAGTCCTGTGTGGACGCGTGCCAGAGCTCGGGCTTCATCTGTGAACCTGCGCACTTCCATTACATCAACAACAAAGAGGCTCTGCAGGCGTGAGTGTCGCAGTGTTCATGGAAGCAGACTCACTTTTGTTTATGTGTTTGTTTTAATCAGGACTTTTTAAGCGATGGGTCAGAAAACGGCTTCAACATATAAATATGCTGGTATTAACACATTAGAAGTGCATCCATTGTCCTAAGGCAGGTGTGGAAATAACAAATATGCAGATAGACAAAGATGACAGAACAAGAGACTTTAAAGAAACGTGTGTTCAAAATGGAAGCATGAGTGGTGCATGACTTTGTGCTATATATACTTTGTTTGTGTATAAGGAAACGCACTCACATACAGACTGGTGTTCTGTTTGCTTAAGCATTCCAGAGAGGATACACAAAAGATGAAAGGGAGAACAAGGAAACAAATCAGTTTAGAAAATGTATAATTAATTTGCATACTGTATTTATCTGCAGACCTGGCTATCAGCATCTTGTCTTATCTATATTAACATTTTAAGTGAGCATTTCTATCCAAATTCTTAAGCACAGCTCACATGGAGTACACACTGCCCTCTGCTGGTAAAAGCAGACACTGCAATTCAGTTCGAGGCTGCTCATAATCTGACCACCAACAATCATTCCCTCAGACATCACTATCATAACGAGAAAGAGTAAAAGCATTTTAAAAACCTTATGTATTTCTTGTTAATGTGAGTACTCCGATCTAAACATTATACAAACAGAGATAGTGTTGTCTCGGTAATAATAAATAAGCCACCGTTGTCACCATGGGGGTTCGCTCTGAAGTAAAGTTCGTCCATTTTATTTTCTCATATCAACGTCAGTCCTTTTACAATGCAGATGTTCACAGCAGGTCCTGCAGGGCGTCACACAGACTCCTGAATGGCCAGTAAAAGCTTTTAATCACTGAAATTAGTCACACTTCCTGTTGAGAAATGGGAACACTGGATCGGAGTAGAAAGAAAGAGGCAGGAGGCATTGGTTCTAATCAGCACATCAACACAGGTCCTTCCTCAAGTGCAGTATCGGCAGAGAGGAGGCTGAAGCGAAAGACAAAGCACCTAATTTATTGCTCAGTCTAGTTCCCACCCTCACCTTTGGGTAATGACCGAAAAGACGAGGTCGCGGATAGAAGTCGGCAAAATGAGCTTCCCCCGTAGAGTGGCTGGGCGCTCCTTTAGAGACAGAATGAGAAGCTCAGTCAAGTAGAAAGAGTGGTTAGTTTAGGAGGCTCGAGCATCTGTTTTGGAGCTCCCTGGACGTTCCCTGGGTAGGTGTTCTGGGAATATTCCACCGGGACGAGAACTTACAGGAAGACCCAAGACACTGGCCTGGGAACTCCTCAGGATTCCTTGGATGAGCTGATGTATGTGTGCATGCGGGAAGTCTGGGCGTCTCTACTCAGACTGATGCCCCCGCGACCCGGCAACGGATACAGCGGGAGAAAAGGGAAAGATGGATCAGCACAGTGACCCTCCAAATACAATTATAATCTGTTCCTATGACCGGTCTTGGTCCTGAGGAACCAGACCAGCGTGTTCGTCCTCATTCTTGTACGCATCCAAGTCCTGTCATGTCCTAGTCCAAGTGAAACTCCCTCTGCCAAGTCTCCGTGCAGTCAGTGTGTGTCTCTGCGAGATGAGTGCAAATGGCCTTCATTGGGGAATGTTATTATCCCACAACACTCCCAGTCGACAATGCTTCTACCTAATAGATTTCCAACTGCTTTGTATTTAAACTGGTATTGTATATCTACAAACTTTAGGACAACATTTAAATAACTTTTTTGTGTGAAATCCTTGAAAGGTGAGACAGATACTTAGTGATTTGCAGCTGGTGGAGCCCAGCAGGGGATCAGGGTGTTGAAACTCAAAGACTGAACAGTTCTCCTCATATTGACTTTTATTCAGCACTCTGGTTTCATCCTGTGCCTTTGTGTTCTATAGACTGTGTGGATTTACAGTTCTCTTTGTTGTCGATGCCTCATCCTTTCTTCGCTGACACCTCATACCTGCTTCACTCCTCATCCAAATTCACTGTGAACTTGGTTTAAACCCTACACATTAGAACTATTAATTAATGTCAAAAGCTCGGAAATTAAATGTTCTCTACGCACAGTTAATATTTGAAGATAACAGTGGCGAAGTTACATGAAAGTGAGTTACTTTCCAAATTGTGAATACAAAGAACAAAGTGTTCCAAGGCTTGCACCGGTTAGTCTAGGGTCTAGGCCATGCTTGATTGGATGAAATAATTTAGATCCTTGAGTGACAGACAAGCTTGCTGCTCATTGGTCGAACTATTCTCTTCCAGTAAGTCTCGCTGTGGTGGTTAAAGCAAGGGAACAGGTCATTTTAAATACATTATTTATGACATACTTTCCATGATGGTAAATGCTCACATGGTCAGAATATGCATTCTTTAACATTTTAAAAACAGTTTCAGAAGCTGACATCACCTGTAACTATAAATTAGCATGTTCTGAAGCTTAACGGCAGATGTCAGTTGTTTCCACTGATTTCATTAGCACAGCTCTAGCCTGGCCATAGCCATCCGTACACTCCGCTCAATCATAATTTCACTGCATGTAACGTCTGGGTCTGGTCCCTGTGTCAGCAAATACAATCGGTCATATTTCAACCGGCCACTCAGAGAGCGTGGAAGGCGGGTGTTGTAGGTCGGTGCCGGTGACGTCAAGAGTTTGCGCCGAACGGGCAGGTTGTAGTTGGGCAATGGCAAAGAATGCGATAGTAAAGTATCTGGTCTGGTTCTATCAAGAAATTGAAGAAGGAGCAAGAGGAATGTTTAGCAAATGTAATCACTGGTCAAGATTGTGGCACTACTCCCCAAGCGCTCCGTTAGCAGCAAAGGAGACGGCTAGGCTAAATGCTTAATGCCAACAACAGTCTCGGGCGCACTACATACGTCACGGTAAACTCAGATCCAATCGTTTCAATCTGCAAAAGGAGTTAACCACTCCCACCTGTAAATGGAGCGCAATGGAGCAAATCCAGACCTTAGTACGAAATGTAATTTGTACTAAGGTGTGGTACAACCAGGCTAGCACAGCCCTGTCTTGTGTTCCAATATTTGAATGCATCAGTTAATATGTTTTAACTCTGCTTTCAGCCTGGACGTGCAGTGTGAGGTGGTGGACACTGAGATGAACCACATCCTGCCTGCGTTCTCTGTGATGCGCAGAGAGTGTGGCCTTCAGAGAGAAGCTCTGCTCTTCAGCTGTGCAGGACACTCCCCCAAATACAGACGCCTGTGCCCCTGCAGGGACTTCCGCAAGGGACAGGTGGCGCTGTGTGCAGACTGTCTATAATGTCTGGACGTGGAAGGACCCAGAGGAGGACTGTGGATGACCTGTGGCCAAACTGGATCTGTCCTGGATTTGGGCCATTTGAGGGCTGTGTTAGAGTCATTCCATGGTGGAAACTGGATCGACCTGAGAGAAATGTGGATGATGGGAAACCATAATAAAGTGTATATTATGATTTACTTCAGGGGTGTCAAACAAAAATAAAGGATGGTTAGAGGTTACTAAACAATTGTATCTAATAAATTACAATAAATTATGTTTTTAAAACTGAACCTAGAATTGTAAATCTGTATTCTAATTTGGTCCAACATTTTTGAATTCACAGGTAAAAGGAATCCTGTTACAAAATGTGAACTTAACGTTTCACAAAGAAAACAATGGAGAAGATGGTACAACAGTAGTCCAAGAGAATGTCGCCCTGCACCCATGAGTTTGACACCCCTGCTTTACACACTGAGCAACACTCACTGTTTCAGCCTTTTCTCTTATATGTTCTATTTGCACAGTTAACTATGTGCATGCAAATAAATGAATCGTCTAATTGGAAATTGCTAACAAGTTGTCTAATTTAAAATATATATTTGTTTCAGAGTTTGTAAAATTCAAATGAACAAGAATGTTGTCTTTTTCAATTCATCACATTTTGTCTGAAGTGGAATAAGGAAGGGTTGGACAAAAATAATTAATTATGTAAAATTATTATATTTTGATAATGTTGTCACTTCCAGGCTGGACATGGGTACAAAATATTTCAATTGTCAACTTGATCAGTTGTCATTTTATTTTGTATGTCAAGACTAATTAATGGTAGTTAATTCCAAACTAGGGAATGTATTTCCTCAACACTTCACTTAAAAAACAATATTGGCGCAACATATTTTCATGCGATGGTGATTTAAACAACTGCACATTTGGGAAAGGGTTTAATCAATCATCTCCTACCATTCAATGGTGTGATAGTTGACTGTTCAATCCAACGCGTTTCCCACAGATAGTGACTTTCCACAGATTATGTGCAGCCACATGCAGATACTAAAGAAAAGATCACTCACAGTGGTCCACAAATAATTGATCTTTGATATGTGCAACAATAGCATTTTATTTCATTTTGTAAGGGCCTACTGTAAAACATTTGATTTCATCTTTAAGCACAAGCCAACATTTAACTGGTGCAAATATATATTTCCATCAAAACAGAATAAAATAATGTGCTGTCGTTCTGATACACTGTTGTTCTTCTAATGAGACAAAGTGTGAAAAACTATAACATGCTATTTCCTAACATGTATTAACGGTACACCAATTGGGACAATGGTGTAATGAAATTAAATTAACTTAAAAATCTAAATATAATCATCCCAATATTTTTAGCACTAATTTTGTGCTAAAAACGTAAGTTCCATATAATAAATGTAAAACTCATTTTTAACGCAGTTTTATTTATTTTATTTCAAATTCATTGTGTACGGAGCCAAAAAGATGAGAATATTGTTGATGATCCATTGTTTATGGACCTGACTGTGAAAGAACTGCCCAACTGGGGTAATAATTATGAGAACACATCCGATGCCGTATGAAAGCAGCCTGTTATGTGTGAGAATCCACAGTGCAAGAACGTCAGTCTCCAAACGATTGTGTCTCTATGGTGAGGTCCTCAGATGTGTCATGTGGAAAAGTCTCCTCGGGTCAATAACCAATCTCCACTGTGGACGTTGACAAAGGGATGATGGACACCTGGGTTATCAGTGGCGGCCGCTCCGCTCCTTCAGTGATGGACAGAGTCATTTATCAGGCCAGGCCCAGAACTGAGGCAACATGGCTAAATGCAATCATCTCCGCTCACAAAAGAAGGCGGGGTGGGTTAAAAGGACAAAGATTGTGGTTAAAAGATTATTTTTCAAGAATAAGGCTTCAGAGTTTGAATGTGAGTTTTTGTCCTGAAGCTTTATGATGGAAATATCTTAAAATAAAAAAAAATCTGAATGAGCTCATGTGCCTGGATTGATTTGTGTATTAGTTGTGCTTTGTCATAATTTGGGGATTAAATGTAATGAATACATAAGTGATGGAAAGAGGTGATGGTCATTTACAGGTGTAATATGTCCTTCAAGCCATATTTTGATAGGACATATATGAAATTTTTGGTCCAGGGACACAGATAAAAGATGCATAGTTTAACATCAAATTCTTACAAACGATTAATTTAAGTGAAAGCATACAAAATGACTTATAGGTGCTGCTCACTTAATTGAAAATAATACGCATGACACAAAAAAATGGGTTTGAGTTTGAAAACATAACTAGGCTAAAACAAAATGATCTGTTTCTTCCTAAATCCATGAGATAAGAGCTCTGAGTGAGAACACAGATGTAGAGGTGTGTTCCAGGGGACCTGACCTAAATAGGTTGCTAGAGAGATAGATAGAGATAGATAGTACAACAATAAACAACAGCACTTCAGGTCACAGCAGCAGAGATGGACCATCCGCTGGGGGTGGAGCAGGACGGGTCACAGCTGCAGAGGTGGTGTAGCCGCTTGGTTCGGACCATTTTCTCTGCTCTGGTCCAAAGTAAAATGCTGAATGCTTCATTAGCATTTTTCAAAAAATAGTCTCTCAGTTGAATATTTTTTTACCTTGCAACAATTAGTTTTTTCCTAATTAAAGGAAATATTGGCAGAGGATTTGTCTGAAATGATGGTCTATGTGTTGACAACTGTTCTACGTTTCAGCAGATACATGACTCACAAACATGTCTATATCATGCTATACTCCCAATGAGCTTGTGTATTAGTCTCACTGTTTGTAATGACACTTAGGAAGAGCTTATTCCAGCCCGTTATGCCCTCTATAATAAGATTATGATTGATTTTCACAGTACAAAAGCTGTGTGATTGTATAAAGAGAGTTTTGATCATTGCTGACAGAGGCAGGTTTGAGTTGCCTTGAACATCATGCTATGGATATAGGAGCCAGCATCTCAGTCAATAATGCATGAGTAATCAGCACGCCTGTTCCAGAGCAGCTTGAATAAATAGACATATGTGAAAATAAAAGGCACTCAAATATTTAACCATCAGAAAATCAATGAGCAACAGGCACAAACAAGCAGTGTTTACATGTTGGAGATAATTGCTTTTTGAGTTTGATTATTTGCATGCAGCCATCTTTATCATGACTTCCTGCAGTATTTGGTTTAAGTACTACAGTATACTCATTCAATTTCAAATGCATTCCTTCTCTACTCTGACTCTGATCTTTCACTGTTTGGTTTTGACTTCAGCATCTGACCGAGAATGATGACATGAGTCAATTGAGACCTGGTCCTCGAGTGATACGTCTACGTAGAGTGTGCCTGATGTATTTAATGGCCACACAAGTCCTGCATTTCCTGGTCATTTTGTGAAATAAAAGCTGCATTTTGCCTCTAGTAAAATTATTCTGGATTGTGAAAACAATAATCGATGTAACAAAATGCCTTAAGATGGCCTTGATTTTCCTATTGGAAGATGGTGAGGAATGTACACCCTGAAACCTCACAAAGGCTACGGAAATGAACAAAGTGAATAAATATAAAGTTTGCGTAATTTAAAAATCTAAAAGTGCTGATTGTTCTACTTTAGGAGCTAAATGCAACAATGTCCTCGCAACAGGCATAGATGTATATTAATATTGGGAAGCAGGAGATGTAATGTGTCCGTTATTGTTAGAAAGACACTTATTACAAAAACGTTTCACTTTTACTATATAAATCATTTCATGCTGACCTAACATAAAGTAACCCAGACTTGACAAAACACCCCTCAGCCTTCAGCCATGTCTCTCAGGTTAAAACAGTGCACTCTGCTTCTCTCCTTGGGCGTTACTCAGACAGAGCAGTGATATTTCTCTGAGCAGTTTCCCAGCGCCACCGCCGCCATCATCAGAGTCAACCTTCAGCTGCAGTCACCAATTTCCCTCCACTCCCAGCTTTTCATCTTAACAACACAAAATAGTCAAGTCTCTGTGAGCTGAGACAGCTGAAGAGCACCTTTCACAACCCGCTGAGTTCAGAGGATGGAAGCAGTTGAATGATTGGGAAAATAGCATTCATTCTCTGGGAACCATTCACACATCCCTGAAATTCCTCAACTACGTTTCCGTACTTAGTATCTTTATGTACCAGTCTCTCAGTTTGTCTTCCTCAGCTCCTGTGATATTTGCTTCGTCTTAGTCCACAATAGGGTTCTCCCTTTTACAGGTGTAGTTGTCTTAGTTTTCTCTATGGTTTACCTGGTGTGTTTATGTTTCCTCATTGCCCTGACGTATGATAATAATACTTTATATCCCTAAATTACAACAGTCGTTATCTTGGAGGACTTTACAAAACTGTCGAATTTGCCCACACAGATCAGAGAATCAAACAGTCCAAACAAAAGAAATACAATGATAAAAACACATTGGTCCATAAGGGGCAGATGACCGTCAATTGTGATAAATGTCCATAAATTATCACCACTGTCCTTAGACCCTCCTGCATCAGTAAGGAAAAAAAACGCTCTAAAAAACCCACAATGAGAGAGGGATCCGCTCCCATGGACAGACGGGATATAGATCCAGGATTGAGGCCGTAGAACGAGGACAGAGGCCATGTGATGAAGAGCTGAGGTGGTGCCGATGGAGGAGGCGGGTTTCAGGGTTCCCATAATTACCCCATGAAACAGACAATGGAACAGCGGGTGAATAGCAACGAACAGACTGCAGCTGAAGTGACAATAATTACAGTAGGAAGAGGAGAGGACCTCATACACAGCCTGCAGCCTTGAACTTCCTATTTGATTAGATCATTGTTAAATCCTTGACAATATGTTTGAATCCCACTTGTATTGTATAAGTGTGTTCCATCACACTTGTAATGGTCCAGGAGATTGTTTACCTGAAAAGACACTAATAACACTATCAAAAACATAGTGTCTAAAGCAGACTTGGAGATTCTTATCCATGCATTTGTCTACATAAATAAAC